CCCCAAAACCCCAAAACCCCAAAACCCCACAATCATCAATATAAAAAAATACAACTTGTTATTAAAATAAAAATAAAATGTTCAATTTTTATCAATATGATAAAATAGAGAAGGAAGAGGAAACTAAGAGAGTTACGACTACCAAAGAGGTTAAAAGGATTTAGAAATATTTAAGTAAGTAACTCAATAATATATGATTTATTGAAATTAACACCCTCTTTATTACAACCAACTATCATTTTTAGCTGAAAGAGATAAAATGGCTGAGAAATACAAAGAAAGAATTGCTTACTTTTTACAACAAGTATATTTTATGAAAAATTATGAAAATATTAGATGTCTGTTGAGCCTATTTAACCTGATGATTATTACAAAGTGGACCCAAAGATGATTGAATATCAATCTAAGTTTAAGGGCAGTGAATTTCTAAAGTTCACTAATAACGCACGTGACTCTGATAGAATAGAGGTAAGACTTCGAGAATATAACTATCATAATTATAACCACTAACTGATGCAAATACTAATTTATTTCATAATAGGCTTCAATTAAAAATAACTAAATGCTTGATTTAAATCCCCCTGGAAAAATAGAGAAATTTGCTTGGTAAATGAGACCGAGAAGCAAGGATAAAGAAATAGGTCCTGAACTGAGATTTAATCCTCGACTTTAAATGGAAAGAATTTATGACTCTATTAACAATAGAAAATCCCCGATATTTGAAGAAGTCAATTTAACTGATCACTAATTACATTAATAAGTTAGAGAATTTGTAAAAAGTGGAAATGTGAGACACTAATCATTCAATGCCTCAAATGGGCAGTAATAGTTTAGAGATTCAAAATTAGGTTTTAATAATTTCTTTGGAAACCCATAGCATATAATGAATTAACTTCATAAGAAGTCGCATTTTAAGGGTGTTACTTCTTTACTTATGGGCTAGGAAGGCTCTTTAGAGGTTAAGCCATCACAACTAAGAGATGTTTTCTAGTCTATTGCTCAAAACCTTGAGATCAAAAGAAAATTAATGAAAAGTGCTGAGAGAACTGGAGGAGATCCAAGAAACAATACTAATGGAAGTATCTCACTGAATTAAACAGCAAGCACTCTCTAAAATAAAATATCTAAATATAAAGAGAGGATTTAAAGCTAGAGAGATATAAAATCTATGAGTAGAAAGCAGAGTACAGATTCAAGACTTGATAGAAGTTTGATCAAAGTACAAAACTAAGCTGAGGAATTAAATATTAACAGAATATCACTCGCACCATTTTTTGCAGAGGATGTCGATCCTAAAGAATTGAGTTAAGACATCTTGAAATAATGCAATATAATCAGGGATAAGCACTTCAAGACATCGCTATTAAGAAGGAAATCAGGGTTGGGAGGAGGTAATAGACTTAACGACTCCAATTATCAGTAATAATGCACTTCAGAAACTAGAAGTTTTAGCAATACCAGAACAAACATTAACACTTCGGACAGCAACACTAGCAAAAACTTATTCTATACAAGAAGGGTATTGAATAATGATGAAAACTAATCTGGGAAGATCAGAGAAAGATTAAATAAAACTTCAATAGGTAAATAACCTCACCATGTTAGAACACAGCAATAAAGCATAGAAACAAGAGAATCTAATGGATATCAACTTTTATGAACAATAATGTTACATGATTACAGACTTAAATATACTTATTTAAGCATTAAATATTTAATTATGAAACGATAAAGTTAAATTGTAAAAATTCGATCAAGTCATCAATTTAAGTTTCAAACTTATAATTTCTACGTTTTCTTCAATTGAATTTTACTCTTACATTCGAAATAAAATTCCCATTTTAGTCATTATTTACCACTGTAAAGTTTTAGTTTTCTCTTTTATTTTAGGCTAGCAAACTTAGTCTTTTATTTCTACAAATCTAGTTGCTTTATGTATCTTTATGAGTAGCAACACTAGTCTAAAATTAAGACCTCCTATCAATTAAGCTCCTCTTTTGATTGGTGTTATTGAAACTAAATCTATGAAATTAATTATTCAATTGACTTGTTGTATTGATATTCAAAGGATTATCGATTTAAGTAGGTGACTACTTCACAATCATTGAAGAATTATTTAGGCTTTAGTATATTGATGACAGTTATTTCATATTATTCATAGATTGGTCAGAGTTAAAATTAAACTATTAAGTATTCTAACTGCTGCTCATATTATTATTTGATTTTCTTTTTCTACCTAACCTCATTGTATGGCTCTATCTAAATGGTTTTTATTAAGATAAAGCAGCACCTTAAAACTGAGCAATAGGCTAATCTTTTACATTTCTAAATCCTTTTAAATTAGTTGATAAATCAATAACTTCAAGATCATCTAAATCAAAATGAATTTAATTATGAATCTTACTTGACATGAACTTGAGTTAATTGATGTTATTAGAGCCTGAATATATCTGCTTATGATTATTTCTATATCTATTATTTAATTTATTCATAGTTTATTCAAGAACTTGTCTCTAAGAGAGACAATCAATCTAATTGATATTAGACCTATGTGTGCTAGCTGATCTGTTTTACTTAAGTAACTTTATCTATAGATATTCAATATAAAATTGTAAAGATACTTACATCATATTGTCTGTTGGTAAGATTACTATTAATGTTTTGAAATAATGTCATCTGAGAACTAAGTTACTGGTAGTTAGAGTTGGTGGCTGAGGTGATACTGGCACGAGTATTTGCCTTCATAATATCCATCGATTAATTGAGATTTAAAGGGGACTTCTCAATCTTTTCAGCAATACATATCGGATTTTACAATTAGTCGAAATCTCTCATTTATTAAGATATTACTGAGTCTCTTAAATTACTTAAATTTTGGCTACTATTAAGATTATTGCTAGAATTTATTAGGGCTATGTTTTTATTCAGTTGTTTTTCATCAAAGTTAAACTAGTTTGATTAAGTTGGTATTATCTATGAGATTTTATTTATTGAATCATTTGAGTTTATATTTAGGTTCTAGTATAACACTTAATCCAGCAAGCAGTTCTACTACATTGTGTTATTTGTTGTCCTGTTTTGGAAAATTTGAGATAATAGATTTCTTTTAATATGTAATCTGGTACTTTAATTTAATTGTCTGCCATCCACTACATTTATTTTGGAATGATAAGGACTGGAAACCTTCTGTGAACTATAAAAGCAATTATTTCACATTATCAACAAAAAAACTACGAAGTATCCAAATTTAATCATAATGACTTACTCAGCTATAGAAAAATGCTCATGAATATTCATTGAAGGAGCCTTGCTTATAAGCACATTCTTCTTAAGTTTCTAAAATTCATCAAAGTTAAGAAATTACGAGCAACTTTTGTTGGATTATCTTCTTTTTAATCTCTTCTCTCTTCAAAATGTTATTAGTGTATATATCCTGAGATCTTTGTCGGGTTTAATTTGCTCTAAAATTGTTTAGATTTATCTCTCTTACATTATAATTTTCCTGTCATTGCTTGAACCATCTCTCTCAATTCTAAAATATAGATAATGTTACTTATTAATCCCTTATAATATAAAAAATAGTTACCTTAGTCTTTAATGATTAATGAAACAACCATACTAACTTTTAAAAGGAATCTGCAAATATTTGTTGAAATGAAATTTATGTTACTATTTGTGGTACTGTTAATTTTTATGTAAGATCTCATTGATCATTCATGTCTTAGTATTCCTATATAATTAATTCTTCAGGACTTAAAGAGGTTGACTTAAGTAAATAAGAAGCATTTTCTGCAAAATTTTGTGAATTTATTAATGTTGCTTAAACTGACATTTTAGACTTTAAAATATTAAAAATTTCTATTTTACAATCAATCAAGATTTATAACTTTAGGGGGTTTGGGGGTTTGGGGG